TCTAAAATATATTGGAAAATGGATAATGTCAGTAGCAAAGTCGGATGATCAAAAACTGCAAAAAAAACTTCTTTCGTTAATAACTCCAGCATTAACCATTTTCAACAATGAAATAATGAATAAAAACTTGACGGAAAAAGAGCTGGCAAAATTGCTAAGTAAATTACTTGTTCTAACATCATTGAAAATAGGAAAAGTTAAATTAAATCTATCAATGAAAGAAAAATTTCACATAAAAACTCTTGAAGAAGCCTCAGCAGCAGGAGAAAATTTAGGAAAAAACGTTTTGTCTTCATGTTCGAAAATTCAGGAAAATATCAACTAGTTAGAAAGCCCGAGTTCATATGAAGATTACTTTAATGCATTACCTGAAATAATTCGTAGCTTTTTTCAAGCTCTCATCACAGTACTTCAACAACGGAAACAAAAAATGATTAATAAAAAAAGAAATCAACGTGAACTTCCCTCGATACCTCTTGATGAAGTTCAAATTACAAGGACTACCGTCCTTTTAACTTCCATGATACTAACTATCGCTTTCCCTCGGACAAAATTTTGGCTTTCACACATCATATCATCAATGTGCCAAAATTCAAAATTGCTACCATATTTACGCGAGATTCTTTATTCAGCGCGTGTTATATTGTATACCAAACGACATGAAAACCGTCTTGAAAAATTTAGAATGTATCATACTGACTCTCGAGAAAATCTGATTAAAGGACCGAACATTTGGAATCTTGCAGTGATTGACAATATCGACTTTAAAGCTTCTACATTCTCCTACGGCAACATCTTCGATGTTGTGAGATGAACTTCACATGCAACACTTCAAATGGTATTTCAGTTCAGTTTGCCTATTTCTCTTGAAGATCTTATTGAAGATAATGAATCCACTGTTCAACCATTGTTCGGAGAATCTTCGATTACTGATAATCTTTTAGTGATGTATGAAAATATCTTGAATACTATGTTAGAAAATCATGAAAGTTGTAGATTTGATATGGAAGATGTGCGATCAAAAATTACTGAACAAATATCTGCAGGTTGCAATACTTTACCGCCAAAAATTGTAATATTGGAGCCTTGTAATCCACCTAATTGCAATGACAATGTCTATGCTGCATGCGAAATGTATCGTGATGATTTGTCAACCGGCAGTAACGATAACCTATACATTGCGTGTGACCAAGCAATTTTTGGAAGATTAATCTCTTATAAAGAAACCCATGAGGATGTTCGGCTTCTTTTGGGACAGTGGCATACATCTAAAAGCATGTGCAACACTTTAATTACAATATTTTCTGAATACGGAATATTTAATTTCACAGCGACCCTTGGAGCACGATTTCTAGATAAATTTGAACATGTCGTGGATTATCGAGTAACATGTCGTGTCTTGGAGTTAATCTGGATTGCGGTCGGGATCGCACTGTGCCAATATGTAAAAAGAGAAAAAAAAACTATGAATGATATTTTAAGCGGTAATAATCAGTTGGTGAAGGTGTGGTATCTCTTTTTCAGATGGACAGAATACTTTGTGGGTCATAAAATTGGCATTAGAAAGGGAAATTACGAGATGCAAATAGCAAATTTAGCTGCCTTTGTACCTCTCTTCCCTGCCGCTGGAAAACTTAGGTACGCAGGTTCTGTACTGCACTTTTTAGCACAAGTTCACGATGACCCACGGCTATGTAAATTGCTACAAACAGTATGCTCTGTAAATATTATGGATGAAGGTCATTATTTTGCTTTTGATGAAGCACTTGAAACATATGGTGTAAACTTTATCAAACAAAATATTAGTGGAAATCTTACCGACCAGCCGACCATGATGTTGAAGATTAAGGCAGCTCAAAGCGAGAGAAATCGTTTATCAATGCTTCTTGCTGAATATACCAATGATGTTGCAGAAAGTCAGAGTATTCGTGCAATCAAATCGCGTAAAGATTTACTCTGGTCCTTGGCTACAAAATTATGGGACGCTTTTAATTATCCAGATCCTAAAACACACCCTTTATTTAAAGGTGTGCCAGAACTTAATAAAGAAGGCATTGCGAACATTCTTTCCTTCTATGAAACTGGTAAATCGCGGTTTCAAGAAATTCTTGCCCAAGATGTATATAAAACTGAGCCACGTATAACTACTGGATGTCGTGGGTGTAATATAAAGTCTTATACCTATGCACAACTTACGGAAAAAAAGAAAAAAATGAATAATCAAGTAGACGACCATCCTTCTCAAACGTCAACTATTCAACAAAGTACTTCAACACCACAATAGATACCATTACCTTTTGAAACTGACCATCCAAAAAGAACACGCCGCATCACTACGGAAGTGGAGAAAGCGATACTTGACCAATTATTTGAATCTGAAGAGCTGCTCAAAACAACAATCTCAGATATATTATTGCAACTTAACGCTATTTCTCCTGACTGGATGACTGAGAGGATCAAAGTATATTGGAGGAATAACTGGTACAAGAAGACCCTAAAAGAATAATTTTACAGTTAGCACGTAACGAAATTATGAAAAAAAATATATATATTTATTTAAACTTGCTCGAAAGGAACATTTGTTTAAATCTTAGTATCACATGTAGTGTCTTAAAAGCGACAACATAACATATGTCTTGTAGCCCATTATTTCTTACCACCATATAAATAAATAAACAAATAGTCTGTAAACGAAAAAAATTTGCCTTTTTAATGAAAAAAAAAAGAACAAAATACTAAACTTTTTTGAATTAAAATTATCGCTTTTTTCAATAAAAATGTCCTTCCAAGAAAACATAAAAAAATAATAAGTGAAGCGCTTTTGAGCCATTAAGATATCTTAAAGAGATCTTTATTCTTTACCTTAAAAAAAACAAAACTAGGTCGAAATCAAAGATTCCGGAAGAAGATCTTGAGATCTATATTCGAAAATTGCCTATTTTCAATTTAATTTTACTCGACATAGAGTTAAGCAGAAGTATATTTTTTAACATAAAATGGAAGTTCGAAACTTGTAAATTAAAAATTGTTTAAAGTTAAAGGTATTATTTACTATAAGTTAAACGAAGTATTTTTACAAGTAAGGTTTACTGTGGTATGTTACATGAAATCGTTGTATTATGAAAATCATCGAAGGGGAAATGTCCCGTGACTGATAACTACTTAAGCTAGCTGACTTGCTTGTGAATCCATTTACCATATGACTTAGATCCTCTTAGAATGTATATTGTCTAATATATTATGAGTACACAAAGCTCTAGTTAACCTCAAAAGTATATTTACTAGAGCAGTCTATGCTTATTTCATAAATTTATCTAGCTTAGACCCTTGTGATATTCATATGATTCTAGTTCCTACTATAGCTTTCTACTGGTATGTATTAATCGATTTCTCTAGATATTTCATAAGGTATTCCTCCTAAATCTAATTAGCTATCAAGTCAAGTTAGTACTACTGATCTTTACTATAGATACAGATTTACTCGCATCTATTCTAATCTATATCTTTTGAAACAGTTTTTTTTCAGATCAAGTATTAGCTAATATGATTATCAAAAACTATACTACTTTATCACTTTGGGATTTCTACTATGCAGATCTCTTGCTTGTATATCTAATGCAAATTTATTCTTGTAATATTACTGTCACACTTCTAATATCTGATTAACTTAGTGCAATGCTATTTTTTATAGAGTTTTGTTACATCCTTCAGAACTTCCTTTTCAGGAATGAGCAGAGTTTTCTGTAAGTTTAGTACACAGGTCTAGGTATTATTTAAATTCGTTGACAGTAGATTTAAACTTTAGACCTATTGCATGGTAGTCTGACAACTTAATCATTATACTAGGTCACTAGACTTTAGAATAAGTAGTTTTAAAATTAAAATTTAAAATATCTAAATAAAGTTTTTTCATAATGAGTTTTTTTCTAGACAGTTAGTATATATTTTATTATTATTTAATATTTATATAACTATTTTTTTTTTTTTTTGTATATAAATGCTATCAGCTTAACTTTATTAATTTTATAAATTTTAGAAGTGATATATATTGTAAAAGTATAACTAGCTACATATACAATTTTAGGTTGTCTATTTTAAGTAGTTTATCTGAAGGTTCTATACTAGCTGCTATATCTGAAATCTCTTAGAAGATTCTCTATTTAAACTCTCTAGCCCTATTCTACTTACTGCAAATATTATTCTTTATAGTTAATCTTAACCCTATACTACTCTACTTTAGGAGGTATCTAAGCTAATATTAGTTGCAAACTTTTTATTATTAGCCTAGATCTTATCTAAATAAGTTCCATTTCAACACTCTCTAATAGATAAGTATTATGATACCTAATTATACTATGCTATATTTTTATTCTAGCTTGCATTACTTATATTCGATGTTCATACAAACCTGGTTTTAGCTATTGTCCTCTACTAGTTTAGACTTCTGTATTCTTATAATTATTTCATAAGGCTAATTCTCCTAATCTAGTTAGCTGCCAAGCTAAGTTAGTATTGAAATAATATCCAATATCACAAACTTACTCACTTCTACTCAATTTATATCTTCATACTCAGAAATTTTTGCTAGATCAAGCATTAACTGGTATGATTATTGAAATCTATACTACTTCACCTTGCTTAGAATTTCTATCATACAGATTCTTTGCTTATAGATCCTATCTCGATTTATTTATGTAATACAACTCTAATATTCTGTTATACTTCCAATGTTAGAACAATATTGGTGCAATATGATTTATAGAGTTACAACCTTCAATAATGAACAGAGTTTACCATAAGTTAAGTACAAAGTTTAAGAAATTATTCAAATTGTTGACAGAAGGATTTGAACTCCAAACCTATTATATAGTAATTTGACAACCTATTCACTATACTAGATTACCAGATCTTTTTATATAACTATTAATTTATTATTTATTCTTTTAAAAATATTTATTATATAGACTATTTTAACACTCATTAGAGATAAAATTTATCAGTTATATGATTAACTAATAAAATCACAGGATCTTGTATAATGATAGTAAAGAAATTTTAAATAAAAAAAAATAAAAATTGTTAATACTTTAAAATTTTATTATGAAAATTTGTATCATGTCACTAAATAAAAGTTTTCAGTGCTTAATTTTACATATAATAAACACTCTAATCCTAATTTAAACCTTGCTCTAATCCTAAAGTTAAAAAAAAAATGATTTGTTTATTAAGAAATAATTAAGCAAAAATATATACCAATGAATTTCACTTCTGGTTACTCTTAAATAAATTCTTATTATATAAAATATATTAATTAAAAATATTTATTATATAAAATATATTAATT